AAAAAAAAAAAACAAAAAAAAAAAAAAAAAAAAAAGTGTCGGGGGGAGTGCTTGGAGCTCCCAATTTCAGCGCGCGAAAGTCTCCCGACTCCTTGCTATTCTCGGGCTCAGGAAATTGCTTAAACGCGACCTGATTGCCAGCAACGTGCAGGAGAAGTGGGGGGTCCGGGTGTCAGTTTCTCTACGTGCAGGGCTCGCCCCGGCGCGCGCTCGCTCGCTCGCTCCGGCTCCCTCCCGCCCTCCCTCCCAGCGGCGGCGGGGAGTTGCCGCTCGCTCCGGCTCGCTCTCTCCCCCGGTTTTTGCATTTATTGCCTCCTTCCCGTCCTTTCCAACTTGGAGAGGGCCGGGGTGCGCAGCGCGCGTGGATCGGACGCCCTCGCCTGCGCCGCCTTGTCCATTCGCTCCCGGGGCAGCCGCGGCGCGGAGCGAGAGGGCGGCCCTTCCCCCCCCCCCGCTTTTTTTTAATACCCCATTAAGTCTGATTGACAGTTAAAGTTGTTCGGAGGCTTCACTACCGTTCCTCTGAGTGGCTGCCGCGGCCTCCCCTCCCCCCTGCGCCGTCGCGGGCCGCGCGCCTGGGCGCGCACCCGGGCTCGCCGCGACTCGCTCTCTCCCGGGACTGCTCCCCTCTCTGCAAGCCGGGACTTGCCGCCGGTGCCCCTGAGGGCTCGCAGCTGGAACTCGAACGCGCTGGAACCGACTGCTGCGAGCCGGCTCCCTGCCTGAGACATTGCTCTTTGCCCGGGCCGGGGTCTCCTGCAGCCGGGACGCCCGCGGGCCAGGTGACCACCCCTGCATGCGGGGCAGGGGAGCTCGCGCATGCCTTGATCCAACCAGGTCGCTCGCCCAGGGTTTTATTCCATGTCATTTGGTCTGCCCCGGCCTCCAGGTAGGACCAGTGAGCCACTCCCTACCTCTGCCTGTCCTGACGTCTGCTCTGTCCACCTGGAGTGTACTCTCTGAGTCGGACCCAGGTCCCTCACGTGGCTGGTGGGGGAACCGCTGGGGAGGAGGGTTTTGCTTGGAGGGGAGAGGGTGGGCAGAGTAAAGGAACCTCTGCCCCAGGTGCCAATAAATTCCCCGTAAGATTAGCTGGGAGCATATTTATTGCTCAGCTCGGCTAGAGTTACCTTGACTGACAGCAATTTCCTTAATAACAAAAGCCTGTAAACAAAACGTCCTAAACCTGTGCCCCTGTGCTGGGTAGGCAGGGTCTCCTCTCTTGGGGTCTCCCTGGGCTGCCCTGGCGGGGCACCCACCTTGTAACCTCTTGCCCTTCCCAACAAGAATGTCTCTCCTGCCTGGAGGGTGGGACCCAGCCGTTTATAGTTGTCTGTTGCAGGAAGTCTGGGAGGTGAGTCACCCAAACGCAGCCCCAGTTAAAGTGCTGATGGGACTTGCCTCCCGCCGCCCCTGAACATCCCCCGGGGCCAGGGGAGCGAGAGTGAGCCTGGGAGCTGCCCTGTAATCTGGGGCCGCCGTTTCCAGACTGAGACTTGTTCGGTCAGGGAGTCCTGGGCCTCACCCCTGGAGATTCTGATTCAGCAGGGCTGGGTGCGCTGGAATCGGTGTTCTCAGTGCCCCGCCTGGGTGAGAAGGTCATGCTGAGAAACGCTGTTTTGCGGGGAGGGGTGGCTGGGGTTACCTCCTCGCCTGCGAAGACTCTCGAGCTCCCGGGAGAAGCTCTGCAGGTGAGGGACTAACTTCCAGGTGAGCTGGGAGACCTGTGTGTCTGGAGAACCGCTGGAAGAGCAAAAGAGAGGATAGGATCAGGCCGAGTGGGGATGGACAAGATCCCACTGACCTTGCAATGGGGGCATTACTGTGCCATTTTCCAGGTAGCCAGGAAGTGCAGGAGAGAGGGATCCAAATCCAGACCTGATTTCTCTCCCCACCCCACTGTGGCAAGAGGGGAGAAGAGAGGTGGCAGAGGAGGCTCATCCAGGGACTGCAGAGCCGAGACTCCCCAGCAGCCTACATCCCCTTTCCAAAAGCATGACCCAAGGGCAGGCCATTGCCTTGGTTTGACTCCCAGGACGCAGCTAAAGGCAGGACTCCATCCTAGTGACTGCCTGTTCCCATCTTCGAGGCTGTATAAGTGGGAAAGACATCCCACTCTGGGAGAGGCAGGCCCGTCCCTCCCAGCAGCCGCTGGTGTGGGCCAGGCCTGTGCAGCAGCCTGGGAAAGTCTGCAGACTGAACTGCAGTTTGAGCTCGGTCTGTGCTGAACTGTGCTCATCTGTGATCCTCGAAGCCACCTAGCGGCCCAGATGGGACACTGCGCCTCCCCGCTGCCCCAGCCTCCAGCCCCCCACATTCCTAACCAGCTATGCTTTCCTTCGGTGCCTTTCTCCCCCTGTAAGGTTGACACCCCAAGCCTGATGGGCATGCGGAGATCGTAGCCCTCCTCCTCCTCCCACTGTTTTATGGCATAGGGAACTAAAGCACGAAGATGTTAAGCAACTCATCAGCAGGCAAGCGTGTTCACCCCAACCAGCTCTCCCGCCCCGTTCAGATGCTAGACCAGCTGGGTGACCCCTCGGTCCTGCTTACATTTCCCCTGGGTGTGTGTTTGGGATGGATGGTGGGCAGGGGGTGGGAAGGAGGCCCAGAACCCAAACTGACCATCAGTGTATCAGGCCCTTTACACATATTCTCACTTAATTTCCTTAACAGCTCCAGGAGGTGGGTGTCCTCCTGCCCATTTAATGTAGGAGGAAACAGAGGCTCAGTGAGTCTAAGTAACTAAGGAACTAGCACAGGGTGCTCCCCATCAGGTCTGGGGTGAAATCAGAGGAAAAAGGAACATGTCGGGCAATCCAAAAGGGGTTGGCAGTTCCAGAGGCCGGCCTGAGGTGGGCTGTGGCTTTTTTCTACTTGGCCCACCTTCAGGATGTGGGTTTTGTGGGCCTGGCATTCCTGTGAGGCTCAGGGTTCTTCCAGTGTCTGCTGCTCAAAGAGGAGCTGTCACCTCTATTGTCTTCCCCACAAGTCCCTGGGAAGATGGGGACGAGGAGGCACTGGGCTCGGGGTGCACCTGTCAGCAGGCCGGCCGGCCCTGAGGGGTTGCTGTGGCCCAGCTTTGGTGAGAGTGGCACGGGACACGTCCTACCCTCCCCCATCCCTTATCCCTTGCTCTTGGTACTTCCTCCTCCCTTAGTTCCTTGGGGCAGGAGGTGCGGAATTTAATTCCAGGGGTGAAGTTTGAAATTCCACATCCCAGGCCTGGAAGATGGTCCCACAGTCTCCCCCCTGCCCCCTCATTCCTTGAAATTGTGAAAGGAGCCTTTGTGAGCCTGGTGGGAGAGGTGAGCTGTCACATCCCAGGCCTGGAAGATGGTCCCACAGTCTCCCCCCCGCCCCCTCATTCCTTGAAATTGTGAAAGGAGCCTTTGTGAGCCTGGTGGGAGAGGTGAGCTGTAGCCTGAAGAACTAACTTTTTCCATGACTCAGCTCTCCTGGTGCCTCGTGGCTAGGGAGGTGCAAGGACCTGGCAAGGCCGGCTGGAGCCTGCTGGAAGAGCCCCCTCCAGCCCATTGTGAGCAGAGGGAGCTCTAAGAGCTAGTCAGCCTTAGGGTTAGAGGTCAGCTGCTGAGAGAGCTGGCCCCGTGACCTGCAGGGGAACTTGCTGGCCCTGGTGGGCCACTAGACAGTAGCTAGCTGCTCTGGGGCCGGTTCCATCTTTTTTTGACTCACTGTTATATCCCAGGGCCAAGCACACGAATGCTTGTATGTTGTTCTTTTACAAAGCACTTTCTTCACCACCATCTCAGCTGAGGGCTGGGCCCCACAAGCCAAGAAGGAAAAAAACGGGCCTCAAGCCTTGCCCTCTACTTAGCTGAGGCTTAGAGAAGTTAAGAAAGTCACTCACTCAAGACCATGCAGCTATTGAGAAATGGAGGAGGGATTTGAACCCGCATCAAATGCTCAGGCTCTGTCTGCTTTCTCAATGTCTTTCAAAACATACAGGCCTCAGACCAACCACCAGAACAGGATCACCCAAGGAGGTTGTTGAGATGCAGGCTCCTGGGCTCCCATCCTAGACTTCCAGAATCAGTGTCCTAGAGTGGGGGCCTAGAAATCTGCATGCAGGCCAAGCAGGTCATTGCTGCTCACTGGATGCTGGAGAAGCTCTGGCCTCCAATGCTGCCTTGCAGTGGTCCCTCACTAGTTACAGCCTCTGTGTGAGGGTTTCCCTGCCTTTTCCACCACCAATCAGCCCCTTCCCTCCTTTTGTTTTTAAGATCTGTGAATGGCATTGAGCCCTCACTTATGGACTATTCTGGGTCGATGGCTCTTGTCAGCCCACAGGTACCTAATGGAGAAGAGACAGAAACTGGAGGAGCAGGGGTACCTGTGGGGTAAGGCAGGATGGATCAGAGAGGAATCGTGTGGCGATGAATCTGGCTTTGAAGTCAGAGAGCTCTGGTTCAAATCCCAGCTCTGCCGCTTGCGGGCAGGGTTGCCTTGGGCAAGTCCCTCCCCTCTCTGATCTTCAGCGTCCTCCTGGAAAGGAAGGATAAGACTGAAGATAGGATTAAATACTTGTGAATCCTTAGTTTGGCACCTGGCCCATATGAAGAGCTCAGTAAATGCCAGCTGTGATTTTTGAGGTGGTGTGGTCCCTGCTCGCCAGAGGCTTCTCATGATGCTGAGCCAGTTTAATCTCTTGCAGAGCTGCAGGATTTATATTTAGTGGTGTGAAGCCAAGTTCCAGAGCACCGCAGGGCAGAGCACCCTTAAGGACTAGCTGGGGCTGGGTGTGTTGTCCTCATTTCCCCAGGTTACTTCCTACCTCCAGACCCTTCTACAAGACCTTTTCCCTTTGGACAAGTAAACCCCTGTTCATCTTTCAGGGTTTACGTTAGCTCATTGGCACTTTTTCCAGGAAGCCTTCCCAGCTGTCCCTCAGTCTCTGTGCCCCCCTCCCCGACCACATCTGGCCCAGGGGTCCCTCTTCTTCACCCCTGTGTTTCCCTCCCACACAGTCTAACCTCAGGCGCTGTAGCTGCTGGTTTTCTTGCCTGAATCTCACATCAGGTTGGGAGCTTCCCAGCGGTGGGGTCAGGCTGGCTTCGTGGGCATGTGACTTGTGCAGTCACTCAGGGCCCTGTGCTCAGAAGGGCTCTATGCTTGGGTTCATGCTGTCACTGTCTGGAATTTGTAATTTTATCTTTCTCTTGTTGTTTGTAAGTGAAGTCTGATCTGCTGTCCCCCAGTATAGAAACTGAGTCACTGACACAAACCTTGGGAGCGAAGGTGGTGAAATATCATTTTAAATGTGTGTCTTCTTTGATTCAACAAATGTTTATCGAGCAGTTACTGTGTGCCAGGCCCTGTTCTAGATGCTGGAGAGAGAGAGAGTGAGCCGGGCAGTCCCTGCCCTCAGGGCGGGTCACAGTGCCAGGAGGTGAGTAGTGCAGAACGTAGGCAGGGTGGGGACAGAGTGATGGGGGTGTATGGGCAGCTGTTGTATGTGGGGTGGCTGGGGAAGGCCTCCCTGAGATGACATTTGTCCATCTGAACGGAGTGGGAGTGAACTCCAAGGACATCTGGGTGAGGAGTGGCCCAGATGGAGGGACGGGCAGGGCATGCTTGGAGGGCTGGCGCAGCAGGCAGGATGGGGAGGGTTAGGAGCCTCCAAAGTCATGTGTGGTCCCCAGGCCAGCAGCATCAGCATCACTGGGGCACGTGTTAGAAATGCCCCGGACCTCCTGAATTGGACTCCATTTTACTGAACAAGATCCCTGGGTGCTCCCGTGCTCACTGGCATTTGAGAAGTGCTGAGGTTAGGTCCTGGAGGCCAGGAAGACGACTTTGGGTTTCCTCTGCAGAGTGATGGGAGCCTTTGGGAGGGGGCTGTTGAGCAGAGGGGAGATGTAACAGGGTCTATGTTTTCCAAGCCTGCTTCGGCAACTGGATCCAGGACAGACTCTGGGAAGCCAGAATGGACGTGGGGAGAACAGTGAGGAGGTCATTGGGCACTCAGGCCAGGGATGGCTGCCTGCTACCAGGTGGATGACGGGTGGACAGTGACACCTGGAGGCTCTGCTGCCAGGAGCACCAGCTCAGGGACCTCCCAAGGGGTCCCTTCCTTCCCAAGGGACTGCATACAGGCACCAAGTCCTAGTAGTCACTGTGTATGGCTGAGCCACCCTGCCACCCTCCCTCCCCCTTCCTCCAGCTCTGAGCAGAATCGTACTACCAATAACCACACACGCGCGCACACACACACACACACACGCGCACACACACACGCATGCACGCACACACACACGCACGCACACACACACACGCACGCATGCATGCACACACACACGCACGCACGCACACACACACACACAGCGCACACACACACGCATGCACGCACACACACACGCACGCACACACACACACACGCACGCATGCATGCACACACACACGCACGCACGCACACACACACACACACACACACACACGCATGCACGCACACACACACGCACGCACACACACACACGCACGCATGCATGCACACACACACGCACGCACGCACACACACACACACACACACACACACACGGCTTTATTTGTCGATTGGCTACTTTCCCTGAGCAGAACAAACCAGCAGTGTTGAATGAGGGGGTGGGATTTGGAAAACCTCCTGATCTAGTGGGAAAAAGTGTTCCATGAAGTTTAAGATCAGCTGCCTTGGAGGGTCTTCATGGAGACGGATGCCTAGGGGAACGTGAGCTGTATGAGACGGCCAGCCTGGGGCACTGGCCTGGCCAAAGGACACAGGCGTAAGCAGGTTTCAGACAGTGGAAAATCTCTGTAGGGAGGGGACGCCTGGGCACCAGGTATCCTGGAAAGCTAGTCTGCAAAGGCTGGAGACGGTTTAAAGCCCTCATAAAACACCTCCCCTTCCTAATGCAGAACATTTGCCAAGAGGGCCCCTTTTCTCCTTGGCAGGGCCTGGCTAATAGAAAGGAACACATAAAAAGTAGGTAGAATGGCTCCTTGTGGTTCACAAAACACCTCTCTGCACACACAGGTGAGCATTTCCCAAGGAATCACGTCTCCCCGTCCTCTCCTGGGCTCAGTGTTAGGCTTTCTTGTCCAGTATTACTTGGAATCCTGGGCTGCGCAGCAGGGAGGTGGGGTCCACGGGCTTCGTGTGAGAGCATGCCGGGGCAGCCGTGTTTATTCTGGCTGCCAGGGACGGCTGAAAACTCAGACTGGAGCCAGGGCTGAGAACGTGGCAGGAACACAGAAGGGGGTGTGTGCTGAGCAAGGGAACAGGCCCCAGGGTGTAACCATGTCACCTGAGAGAGCTTGGGCCGAGGCCAGAAGGGCACCCAGTGGCCCTCACCTGCCTCCTGCCTCTGGGTCAGTCAAATAATTCTAAACTGGGGTGTGGGAGTATTGGTGTGAGGTTGGCAAGGCTGGGTTCAGATCCCAGCTCTGCTATGTATTAGCTGTGTGAGCTTGGACAGGTTATTTGCCTCTCTGAGCCTTGGTTTTCTCATCCCTCAGGTGGGCATTTTGCCACCTACTGAGGTGATGTCTTTGAAGGGCCTGGTGTGGCATCTAACAAGGAGAACGTGTTCAACGGTGTTTGTTTTCTCCCTTCTGGTTTCACGTCCTCAAGGAACAGACACTCTCAGGGGTGGAGGATGAGGGGGAGCCTGGTGGCAGGGGGACAGAGGGTTATAGGGGTGAGTAGGGGACAGAGTTGGAGCCATGAGAATGCTAAATTCTTTTCCTAAACCGAGAGTCAGCGAACCTTTTCTGTAGAAGGCTATGTGGGCTATAAGGTCTCTGTCGCAACAACTCACCTCTGCTATCGTAGCACCAAAGCAGCCACAGACAGTTTGCAAATGAATGAATGTGGCTGTGTTCCAATAAAACTTAATTTATGGATACGGAAATTTGAGTTTCATACAACTTTCACACGTCATGAAATATCATTCTTGTTTTATTTTCCAACCATTTAAAAATGTAAAAACCACTCTTAGGCTTACAGACTACAGAAAAGTCAGTGGTCCAGGTTTGGCCTGTGGACTGTAGTTTGCCAATGTCTCCCCTAGCCCACCACCAAGCTAGCAAGCAAACTTCATACTCTCGGATTCTAAGGAATAAAGGAAGCAGTGAGCCTCAGAAAAGCGGAATCTGCTTTCCTATGCTCTTTCTGGAAATATGTTCACAAAGACTGATCCAAGTTAACATCTATTATAAGAAGTAAAAGGCCACTAAAGAGACTCGATTTCATTGAGAGGTTTAAAAAAAAAAAAAAGCAGTAAGACATGAGTCTAATGATGGATTTAAGTCATCACAACTAGCTAACAGTTATTGAGCACTTACCACACCCTGGGTACTGTTTCTTAAAGGTAATATCCTTAAAGGTAATATCTCATTAGGACCTGACAGGTGAACACACCGAGCTCCTTACAGGTAATATCTCATTAGGACCTGACAGATGAGGATACTGAGATTCCCAAATGTCAAGTAACTTGCCTGATGCCACAGGCTTGTAAACAGTGTAGCAGGAGTTAAAACTTGCAAGATCTAACTTGGGATTCTGGTGCTTCACTGCCTCTCGACATGGGCCCTTCCCAGGATTTATGACCTCTCTGCTGGTTATTATGAGGGCTCTCCAAGACCACAGCAAAGCCTGGTCCTTGCCTTCAGGTGGGGAGACAGACAACAGGCTCCCTGGGTTTGCATGTGCAGCCTGGGCACTCGGCCGCCCGTGTCCTTTCCTAGATCTGGCCTGAGGCTCCATCACTGAAAAGCCCTATTTGGTCAATTATTTCAATGGCTCATTGAATGTTGCCCTAATCAGTTTATAAAAACAAGTAGCAAACAGACAAATGGAAGTGCATGTATTTGTAATATGAAGATTGTTTCAAACTGGACGAACTTAATTATTATTTTACCTTTTACTGAGCACTTAGTAGGTACCAAGTCCAGTGTTTCAGGTGGATTATCTCAATTGGCTATAACAGCCTCCTGCTGAGGGGACACTGTTGCTGCCCTCATTTAACAGATGAAAAACTGAGGCCCAGAGAGGTGGGGTAACTCATGCAGTTTTAAGTCATATTGCTGGGACACAGATGGAACAATCAGGTCCTCTGGATGTTGTGAATCTGCAGCCTCCATCAGGCTCTTGTCGGGCTCATGCTGGGGTGGTCAGCCAAGAAAGAAAAGAATAAAAACTAAAAAAAACATGTGCATGGTATTGATAATATTGTTAAATATCGTTAAAAATTTAACTGAGAAAACAGGCTGTAATTGGGAATTTTAAGCATTTTTTTTTTTTTTTTAGCTCCCTGGGAACAGAAGTCCATTTTCCCATATTGACAGCAGTGAAACTGTTAACGTATTAGGATACAAAATTGAATCACCTGTTTCGATCCTGGTTTTAGAAATTAAACGCCTAAAGTGTGCATATTTGTATTTATCTAGTCAACATTGGTTGGGATTTACTGTGGGTCAGGCAGTACACTAAATGCTTTATATTCATTTAATTTAATCTCATTTAATCAAAACAGCTCCCTGGGGTCGGATCTATAGTCTTATTTCACATTTGTGGAAACGGAGGCTAAACAGGTTGTCTAAGGAGCTGACAGATGTAGAATTAGAAATTAACTCAGTTTTACTTCAAAGCACATCCTCTCTGCTTCTGGCTGTTCCCTGCTCGGAAGCTTTGTCTGTCTCTGTGTGCACGTGAACACACACACATACACGCATGTGCATGTGTGTATAGAAAAAAGACAGGAAGGGAACACATCAGTGTTAACAGTGGCTGTCCCTGCATAATAGCAGTACACATGACTTTCCTCCTCTTTTTATGTCTTTTTACATATTCCCGGAGTTTTTTTTTTTTTTTTTTCCTTTTTGTCTTTTTTCGTGTCCAGCAATGGATCGCAACCCTCAGTGTTGCGCCCGCACCGGACCGGGACCGGCAACGGGATCGCAGCCCTCAGTGTTGCACCCACACCTCGCTCAGCCAGTGAGCGGGAACCGGTCTGTATGTGGGATCCGAACCCTTGGCAGGAGCGCTGCCGCGCTCCCAAGTGGCGCGCTGTAGCAGTGCGCCACCGGGCCGGCCCCTCGGAGTTTTATAATGAGTTTCTATTAAGAAAAGTCCACAAAATGATCTTTGGGTAAAAGTATGCTTGTTTTGGAGTCAGCAGGATACAGGAGTGCTGTGTGAGGCCACAGTGCCCCTGACCGTGGGCCTCTCAAAAGCTCTGCTAGTAAATAAGACAGAGAAGGGAACAAGGACCTTTACTTCTTGGAACTGCCTAATCTGTCCTATAATACCTTGCTTTGTAGGGGAGTTCTGTGCATAAATCCCATAAAATTCTATAATGTGGAGCTGACACTGAGCCTCCCCAGAACGAAATCTGCTAATGATCACTGCTTGCCAGGAGCCTGCGGACAAGGATCAGACGTGTCGCAACCCCCATGCCTGCCTCCCGCCTAAGCCCTTTCTAATAAGGACTCTTTTCATGAGTTTATAAAAACACTTTGTTCAGATCACTTTGTTTGGGTCTTTCTTTCATCTTAGTTGAACACTCAAGTTTTGGGACCCGGAGAAAATGCCTCCCTCCAGCCCACCCCTTGCCCACTGCCTCACTGAGGTCAGGACCTTTTCTGAGACACTGAGTGATGAAGGTGGCAAATGTGACGCAGAGAGTGTGAACACCTGGCAGCGGTACCGGAAGTGAGTGCTGCCCTAAGGACACCTGCAATGACCTTGAGCAAGAGGGCCAAGCACCCTGTGCCTCAGTTTCTTCAGATTTGAAGTGAGGACACTTATCGCAGAGCTGTTGTAAGACCGTGGCGACTGCCTGACTCTTGATTGTGTTCAGCAACCGCCCCGTCGCACTGCCCCCTGGACAGTTACCTACTGCCTAGTTTTTCATGGCTCCATGTCTAAAAGTTTTTAAACTATAAGTCTGAGAAGACAGAAAAGTTGCAAAAAAGGAACTAAGTCCTGAATACCCTTCACTCACGTTAGTTGAGATTTAACATGTACTTTCGTTCATCCATCATCCATCATCGGTGTATGACCATGTTTTCTGAGACTGTGTTGCAGACATGATTGCCTGATAGTCCCAAATACTTCAGTGTGTATTTCTTAAAAACAAGCATTTGTTATTGTGTAACCACAGTACTTTTTATCAAAATCAGGAAATTGACATTGGTACAGTACTATTATATAATCTACTGATCTCGTACAGAGATCACGTTGGTCCCCCTACCCAGCCTGGGGACGACCAGAGGGCAGGAATGGTGCCTGCAATGCTTGTGTCCCCAGTACCCAGCACACGGAGCCTGGCACAGAGGGGATGTGTGGGGACTGTGTTGAACGACCTGACTCAGGAATGAGGCCCTGTGTGTTCAACCAAGACAAAGGAGGGCCAGGTGCCTGCTGATGGAGGTTTGCCCCAAGGCTGGCCTGGGAGCAAAGCAGACATTTGCCATGTGTTGCTTCTCTCCTGCTCCCAATTTCACCATTTCAAATTAGCTTCTTGTTGGTGGCCTTGGCATGCTGGGGCAGGGGATGAGGGGGAGGGACTGGAAAGGAAGTCTCCACCCCTGAAGGAGGCAAAGAGTTGTGTTATGGGTAGCGCAGGTGTGCAGCAGGGAAGTGCCTGCTGCTTTGCATTAAAACAGGAGCTCACCCTCCCTGCACCTGGACCCCAGGCCCTCTTCAGAGATAGCCTGGCTCCAGAAAGCCTGGGTCAGCGTCCTGCAGACTCTCTGCCCCATCCACATGTCCGAGCTGCTTTCAGAAGGTGCACCGGCCACCAAAGAGCTTCTGAATGATGGGGGCTGGAGAGTCAGCTAGTCCCACCTCATTTCTGCCCACCCTTCAAGAGCCCCAGTCAAATGCCACCTCCTGCCAGAGCCCTCCCAGATTTCCCCAAGGCAGAGTGGTTCATCCCACCCTGTGAGTTCAGCACCCAGGCTTCAGCTGAAATCCACATGATGTTTTTGGGCTACCTTCTCCAAAATTGATTCCCAAGATGGTGAGGACCAAGATAATCAAGATAATCAACATGGCTACACTGAATGCTGGCAGAGATCCGGCAAGTAGGGATGATCCTGTCCACCCAACCCCCAACCTTTACGTGTCTACAAGGCTCATCTGTCACCTCCCCCAGGTCTGTGCTCAATGTCACCTCCTCAGAAAGGCCTCCATTAACACTGTAACACCACCTTCTCCGTTCCGTACCCCCGTCTCCTTCTTTGCCTTCTGTGTCTCTGCAGCACTTCTAATTGACTTATACTATAAATTTTTGTCTGTTCATTGTCTGACTCCACCCACTGGAGGTCAACTCCCTGAGGGCAGGAACTTGTCCCAGCACCTAGAGCAGGGTTCAGCCCATACTAGGAGTTCAATAAAAATTTGTTGGGCGAATTCTTTCCCATAATACAGGTGAGGAAACTAAGGCTTGGGAAGGTCAAGTCTCCAGACCAAGGTCATGAGGCTGGTAAGGGGCATTCAGTCTTGTATTAAAATGCATGAGGGCCTCAAAAGATTAAATGTGTTTCCACGTGACCCAGGGATTCCACTCGTAGGTATATACCCAAGAGAGATAAAAACACATTATACCCACACAAAAACTTGCACATGACTGTGCATAGCTGTATTATTCATAATAGCTAAAAAGTAGAACCAACCCAAATGCCCACAGACTAGTGAATGAATAAATAAAACGTAGTATATCCATACAACATGGTATTATTCGTCCATACATGCTAAGACATGGACAAGCCTTGGAAACATTGGAAGTGCAAAAGCCAGTCATAAAGGACCACATGTTGTATGATTCCATTTATGTGAAATTTCTAGAACAGGCAAATCCATAGAGACAAAAAGTAGATTAGTAGTTGCCAGGGGATAAGGGGAGGGAGAAATGGAGAGTGACTGCTAATGGGTATAGGATTTTTTTGGGGGGGAGTGATGAAAATATCCTAAAATTGATTGTGGTTATGGTTGCACAACTCTGTGAATATATTAAAACCCATTGACTTGTACGCTTTCAATAGGTGAATTGTAGGTTATGCAAATTATATCTCAATAAAGTTGTTATACAGAGAAAAACCCCACAGGGGCCACCATACTAGATGCAGGGACAAGATGTCCAGCAAAAGCAGGTGTAGACACTGGCCCCCTTTCTCACATCTCATTGGTCACAAAAGTGAATCCACACTTGTGGATGTCCCAAAGGAGAGGGCAAAGGGTAACATGGGATTTGCCCAAGGCAGGGTAGGTGGGGTTGAGGAAGTTTTAATGGAAGACGTGGTGGAGGTGAGAAGACCACCCAGGCTCCCCTGTCCCCAACACTTAAACCTTGGACTGTACTGTCCCCACATGACCAGGCATCTTGAGGAAGTCGGCTTTCTGGGCTTTAAGCTTTAACCCTGTGCCAGGAGCTTGTATACTGGCTGCTTTTTGGGGTGTCTTATGTTTTCTTGAAAGGCTGGGTGGCAGCCAGATCTGGTTCAAATCCTACATTCATGAGTTGGAGGGTGGCCCACCTAAAGATAAACCATGTCCTTTTTTTTTTTTTTTAATAAAAAAAGACCAGTAAGGGGATCTTAACCCTTGACTTGGGGTTGTCAGCACCACACTCTCCCAAGTGAGCGAACCTGCCATCCCTATGTGGGATCGGAACCCGTGACTTTGGTGTTATCAGCTCCGCACTCTCCCGAGTGAGCCACGGGCCGGCCCCCATGTCCTTCTAATTTCTGGGATGTGTGAATGTGACCTAATTTAGAAAAAGGGTCTTTGTGGATGTGATTAAGTGAAAGATCTCAAGATGAGGTTATCCTGGAATGTTTGGGTGGGCTCCAAATCCAACAAAGAGTGTCATTATAAGAGAAGAGAAAGACACAGAGACGAGGAGAAGGCCACATGAAGAGGAGGCAGAGTCTGGAGTGATGTGGCCACAGGCCACCGAGCACCTGCAGCCACCGGAAGCTGGAAGAGGCAGGAAGGACCTTTCCCTAGCACTTCCGGAGGGAGTGTGACCCTGCCCTCACCTCAATTTTTGACTTCTGTCTTGTAGAATTGTGGAAGAACACACTTCCGTTGTTTCAAGCCACCCAGTTTGTGGTCATTTGTTATGCAGCAATGGGACACTGTAGTGGATTGAATTATGTCCCCCCAAACTCCCTGAAGCTTGAATTGTGTTCCCAAGTTTTATGTATTAGAAACTTAGCCCCCACTGTGACTGTTAAGAGGGTGGGAAATCCTATTATGGTCATTGAAAGGGGGAGCCTTGAAGAGGTGATTGGGTTGTAGGACCGTGCAGTAGTGAATGGATTAAAAATGGTGGTCAGGGGCGTGGTTCTGAGGGCTTTAAAAGAAGAGGGGAGTCTGTCTCTCTCTCTCTCTGCTCTCCGTGTTTCCACCATCTTGCAATGTGAGACCCCTGGGTCACTGTCACCACCAGATGGACTTTGGACTTTCCAGCCTCAGAAACTGTAAGCAATAAATGTCGTTTTCTTTATAAATCACCCAGTTCCAAGTATTTTGTTATAAGCAACATAAACGGACTAATACAGACACTTAAGACCTTCACCACTTACTAGAAGCCTTACCTGGAACCTGTTTCTTGGTTCCCCCGGGTCTTGGTTTCTGCGTCTGTGAAATGGGGCACCTGGGGCCGGCCCGGTGGCGCACTGCTACAGTGCGCCGCTTGGGAGTGCGGAGGCGCTCCCGCCGAGGGTTCGGATCCCATGTGGAGACCGGTTCCTGCTCACTGGCTGAGCGAGGTACGGGTGTGACACTGAGGGTTGCAATCCCGTTGCCGGTCCCGGTCCGGTACGGGCGCGACACTGAGGGTTGCGATCCGTTGCCAGTCACGAAAAAAAAAAAAAACAAAAAAAAAAAAATAAATAAAGGAAAGGGGGCACCTGGAGTGCCTCCATCAGGGGTGTGTGAGGCTTGCTGAGATGGTGGGGCAGAGCTCTCAGAGGAAGGCCTGGCACCCCCTAAGTGCCCCTCACCGGTAGTAAGCATTTAATGTGACATTACCAAATGGCCCTGGCCCTGACTAGTTCTGTCCCTCTGCAGGGGCACGAAGGGACTTTAGATGCCCTGGCCTCAAGCTATGTTTTCTCACACCTACGACAGGACCCTGGCTCATCAGGGGCTATCAAAGCTGTGCTGTGGGAAGTGGCACTGATGATCCCCACCCTCATGATGTCACTTTGAGCCCTGTTAGTTGGAGGGAAGGCAGAATCTCACAGACTCTGGGCCAGGCTCTCTGGGTGTAGATTCCAGCTCTGCGATTCACGTGCTGTGTGACCTTGGGTAAGTTACCTAACTTCTCTGTACCTTTGTTTCCTGGCCTGTAAAATGCGGACGGTGTCCTTTAAGCTTCCACCCCCTAGTGTGTGTAAATGCTCAGACCAGTGCCAAGCAATGCTGCTTGGTTGTGAAGTAAGTGTCGGACTCACAAATTTGAAACTCCACCAAATGTCTGCTTGAGACAAAACTGCTTCCTGACTGCCTGCCC